GGGTGTGGGTGTGGGTGTGGGTGTGGGGTGTGGGTGTGGGTGTGGGTGTGGGTGTGAGGGTATGATTTCTTTTCCAAAAATTACCCACACCCACACACACACCCTTATAACAAGTTTTGCAAAAGAATCCATTAATTTAGTCGCGGTATAAATAATTTAAAACATGGAAGCCATATATTTATCAAAATAAACAATCATCAGCAACAAAATTAAATTTTATAACTAGTACACACATAATTACACAACAGAAAGGAATGAAAAAGTCACTTAGAGTAAAATACATTTAGAAAAAAAGCTAATACATGTTATGGATTACAGAAAAAGGGCAAATAATAGAAACAGTTACTTGGAAAAAAAGAGTGACGAACATGTGTAATGTTAGTAAAATGAAAATGAACATTTATTTAGCAACAATTAAGAGTCATACTGGAAAGTGTAAAGAGATTTTCTTACTATCAAAAGCTGATTAATCACATTATAGGGCTGAAACAAATGTCATGATGGAAATAATATAGAACTAAAGTGATAAAAACTTCTGTCGATCAATTAAATACTTTAGAATGAATTGTTTTTGTATGATGAAGAAAATACATACTTTAAAAGTAAAATAATCGTAGATTCCATCAAACTATTCGAGCAATTTATTTAAAATCTTTATTGCAAGCTATGAGAAAAATACATGTAGAAATTCAATTTACTCTAGATTTCCGTCGAGTATTTGTTTTAATTTACTTCTTTCATATTGTTCACTTTTACCTCTAATCTTGACTAACTGTTTAATTAATTTAGGTAATTTCCAAACAGTCTTGGCATCTTCTGCGAGACTTTCCCTAATAATCGATTGAAACAGACTTTGAAGGTTAATCCCCAGCTCATCTTCTTTTTCTGGTAAGATTTTTTCAGGTAAGACGTTTTCATTTTGATCATCTAATTTATTCGCTAGCTTATAAGTCATGAAGCCTTTCGTAAGGTAGTGTCTAAATTCAAGCTCATCGGAAATTTGTTCGGATTTTACTTTATTATCATGGAAACAATCTCTATTTACAAAAGCAACACATTTTTTAATTACACTGATTTCTTCTGTATTATAATGACAATCACCATTAAATAATCTAATAATAGGTATAATATTATGAATTTCTTCTGTTGTCAATACTGCACCATTTATTGGAACTATAGTAGAACCATTCACATCATCAATATGCATGACACTTACTTTAGGATCTTTCTTGTTTTGACATAAGTTAATAAGGTTTTCAGCCTCAAACAAAGAAACTATAATGAAATACACTTCTTTATCCACTCTACGAATTAATATCATATTAACCGGTTTCAAAAAATCTTTTTGATGTTGTTTATTTTTCCCACCCATTTCTTCACTTGTTTTGATGAAATTTTCTGTCAAAAAAATTTTACTATGCCATTTCAAATTTTTCAGGTCATCAATATCGGTAAACTCAAAACATTTTCCCAATCCTTGTAGTTTCGGATAACCAGTCTTTCCTTTTAATGCTTTCTCTTGAAAATTACGTTTAAAGACCTTATTAAAATCCCAAGTTGCTTCGGGTGATGATGATTTTTTTGTTGAAAAACTAACTTCAACATGTTGCATTTCTTCAATCTCTCTTTCATTTTCTTGATCACAATCATAATCAGCATTAATAGTTAATACACTGTTAGGAAGTTTTGTTTTTATTCTCCTTATCATATCGTCCATCTTTGGTCTATCAATTTCGTCCTCATTTGTCGTTATTTCCTTGATCAACTCTTTAGATTGTCCTTTGTTTTCCAATTCACTTTTTAAAAGTGGATAAAATGTACTTAAGTATGCACCCATATTTCGATTTAAAGTATCTATCGGATTTCGTTTCTGAGGAGTAGTACCATATAATTTTTCTATACTATTGGAGCTTTCGTTGATATATGCTGTACTAAGAGAACCCATAGAAATCTGATTAATTTTCTTTTGATACTCAAATGCTCTACTTTTGATCACATATTTCAATTTTTCTTTCATAACAAGATATAAATCATTCTCATTTTTTTGTATTGTATTGTAAGTAACCCATGTAATAACGTGTTTACTTGATATTTCATCTAGTTTAATTCCATTTATCATTGCAATTTCTGCTGAAATTTCTTTGGAACCCCATAATACAACTGATTGCTTATAATCCAGATCACGAAGACGCATAACAGCTTGCATAAGTTTATCTTTATTCATATTCTTTCCAAGTGTTACAATTCCACGTGCAGTTAATGGTAGTTTCAAATCAGTTCCACGGGCATGAACTTCATCCAAATAAACAAATAATTTCTTATTATCAATATGGCACGCTGATAATGGCAAATATTCTTCATTTCTTAAAATAATCATTATTTGATTACTTTTGTCAGAAAAATAAACAACACCATCAAATCTTTGGTCAATTTTTTCCATGAGATACTTTGATACGTCAACATTACTCATTTCTATAATAATAGCGCCTGAATCAATCAAAATATAACAATCCTTATTATTTTCCACATACTCGCATACTTGATCTAAAAAGTTCTTGGTACTAGATATTTCTATCTTTGGCTCATATTTCTGGTTTATTTTTCGTGATAAAATATGCAACATCTTACCATTCGTTCCTTGTTGAGATGGTAACCGTTTTGGAACTACAGATTCAGGCATTGTATCATTACGATCGTCAGTACCAGAAAACCCTTTGGTTTTCCCCTCGCCTGCTAATGTGTGGGCATTTCCTGTAAGTTTCTCTTTGTAGCATTTCGTGTCATTTGGAAATGTGAAATTACTTAGATAATATTCAATAAAACTAAAGTTTCGGGAAAGATAAAAATAGACTTTTTTAATTTTATCTTCATTCTCAAGATCCAAAGTTCTGAAAGATGTCAACCATTCAGGAAATTCTTCGTTTTCTCTTTGATTTTGTTCGTTTATCCAATTTCGATTTTCTTGAACCCATTTTTGTAATAAACTGTCTTTATCTTGTTTTCGATCACTTTTTAACCTCATTAACCCATGTTTCACTTGTATTAAATCTAATCCTCTATATAAATAACTAAGGATTGTAAACCCAATCATAATATCAGGATGACTAAACTCCGAGTTTTCGGATGGTAAGTCTTTTCCTCTAAATGGAATAGCAATTTCTTTTCCCTTCTTTTCAGATAATCCATATTCAACGCGATAACGATAGCTCATAACATGATAGAGTAATTCATGAGATAACCAAGCTTTCACTAATAAAAAACTATTTAGCATATCTTGATTTTTTGTTTTCAATAATTCTATGATTTTATTTTCCTTGAAAAAACTTTCACCTTTAATAAAATCTTCATAACTTCCGTATTCCTCACCATTATCATCAATTATATCAGTTTCTTTTTCACGAAACCTTTCGAGTAATATTTTACTAAATTCTCGACTAAGATTTCGTTTGATATTTTTTATAAAATATTCATGTTTGATAAAACGCACAAGGGGACATCCTCCTCCGATTCCAGTTACTGGTCTAAAATTTTCTTGAAAAACAACAGGACAATCATCGCTTTGTGAACTGCTTTTTAGAATCTCGCGGAATTTTTGATCACAAAAAATAAATTTGAATATTAAAAATGGAATTTCCCAACGCATTGAACCACCATCTAAAGGTTTAGCTGACCCTAATGTATAATTCAATTCTTTTCCATGGCGCAAGATTTCATCAGATTCATCAAGTATATCAAAGAATTTAAATTCATCAATTGAATAAAGTAATTTAAGTTTTTCTTCACGTTGTTTTTTCAGTTGTGTCGATTGATCTCTTAAAATGAGGAAAGCAGGATAAATGCCGTCCAAACCCTTAAAGATAACTTCTTCTTGTATCTCATCAGAAAATTTATGATATTGTTCAGAAGGAAGTTTTAGTATTTTATCCTCATCATCAATGTAACCCAGGAGTTCTAGTGTTTGTTTTAAATTTTTTTGAGACTCAGTTAACTCATTGAATGTACTAGGATTCATTCGGCTATAAGATATTTGACGATAATGTTCTCTCCAATCGAAAAAATCATTTGCATCTTTTGATTGTAAATATTCTAAAAATGTTTCTTGTTTTTTCAATTGAAAACACAGACGTTGTTCAGGTGTTACCAATAGAATATGTTTACCGAACTGGCATTCTATAAGCATTTCTTTTATTTTGTTAAGATTTTCTATTGAAAACATAACTCTTCTTGAAAATGGCATAGTATATATTTTCTTTTGTAATAATATACTAAACTTATTTCTCAATAATTCTTTCATAACACCCATTAATGACTCTAAGCAATTAATTCTAACTATCTGCTTACCATCAGCTAACACTTCACTTAATATAATTAGTATAACCGATGTTTTACCTTCACCCATATTTAACTGATAAATACAATTGCTTTCTTCATCCAGCATTGTTTTTATAAGAGAATACTGAGTACTACGTATTAAAAGATTATTTTCTGTCTCAAATAATAACCATGATGGATATATTCTTTTATCATAACTTCTTTCCATTGAAATATTCGCTAAAATATTGTCTAAAATTCTATCTCTTTCTTCTATATCTTTGGTAGGATCTAATGATCTATATTTTGAAATTAATAAAGTCGTTCTTTTAATTTGTTGAATTAATGTTTCTTGAACTAAATAACATTCGATTTTTTCATAAAATATGTCTTTATGATTGACGATAAAAGGATTCCATTCTTCAATTTTATCGATATCTTTTAATAGACATAAAATTTCTTTCTTTGTCGGAAAATGTTTTTCTCCCATGATTTGATGCAAAATAAATGTATCCGCACTGTCAGAATTACTTTCAATTAAACTAATATTTCGACGTATTTCTTCTGATAGTTCTGTATTGATTTTTTCATATTCAGAATAATACTTAAGTAAAATTTCGGCGATTTTATCTATATTATATCCGGTTTTTAAATGAATGTCATTTCTTGATGTTTGTAAATATCCAACAACAGCTAGTTGATTCTGTAATGCCTGTATGATTTTTATATCTTCTATTTCTTTTGTTTCTATCTGGCAAAACATATTTTCATTTAACCAAAACTGATATTGTTTTTTCCATGTGATAGTGTCATCATCACCATCATTATTTTCCATTAGTCTTAGTTCAAACGCTGATGTATCTAGTTTTTGATAAAATGAAATACCAATATCATTTCTTTTACATATTAACTTTAAAACAGTTGGACTTACAATATTTTGTTCACAGCAATAATTTAAATACAATTTAAACAAATTATTATTTTCGAGCAGAAAATTTTCTTTTTCTTCCTCAATATCTTCTAAATTTCTACACCATTTTTTAGCTTCACGTTTGAGATTTGTATTATTTTTACATCTTTCTAAGAGTTGTTTAAGCGATTCTAATTCAAGTGACTCTGTCAGAATATTTCGTTTGATGAGTTCATCATTAATTTTCTCACATTCCTCTTTTAATTTGAGTTTCAAACTTTTGAAGTTTTCTCGTTCACTATCAAGGATATATTCCTGTGATTTTTCATCTAAAATCCATTGTTCTACATCTACGAACAAATCATTTTGAATTTCTTTCAAGCTATTTTCTAAGTAAGAAAATTCCTTTTTATAATCATATTCTAAATCTTGTAAAAGATCAATACCTTTTTTTGGTTCTTTTATTGTCAAGTAAAAGTAATTTTCGTTAATTTTTACAATAGAGGATTGTTGTCCATAACTTTCTTCTAAATCATGAATAAATGTTTTCCCATATGGACCGGAAAATGTTTTCCTAACATCAGAATCCTCAGGAAGTGTTTTAGGATCGAGAGGAAAATGTATCCTCTCGGGATAATAAGATTTAATATCAATAATTTTTTTCAGATTTGTGTAATGTTCTTGTATATCAATACTTTTCACTTTCCATTCTAAATGTAAACTATTTTCATTGACCTTAGTATAGGAGTAGCCTTTATTAATCTGATTTTCAATATCTTTAATAGATAAATTCATCTTGAAATCAGATAAATCTGTTGTATTGATAACAGTGTCACCTATTTCATGTGACTGCACGATGTCATCACAGATATTGGAAATATTAATTAAGAATTCATAAAATTCTTTGTTTTTACTCTTAGCAATAAGGTTTTCGTATAAAATGTTTATGAAATCATTAGAAATATTAGAGATCTTCTTTTTCTTTAGGATTGTTTTCAATTTACCTTGAAACTCTTGTTGAAATTCTGGATGTCCTAAATCTGTTACACTAAATTTCGATTGTTGTTCTGCATTAAGGTAGTCGCTGTTCAAGACAGGCCAGATGGAACTTTTAATTTTCTGAATAGTAGTATCATCAAGATTATGAATATTTGAAATATCACTTTCAATAAATTTCATCAAATCACTATGAAAGCCATAGCTTTGTCTAGTCTTCTTTTTATCTAATTCAAATAATAAAAATTCCGGTAAAGATTTAAAGTCTTTTGGAAAGATAGAAACTATGTAAAGCATTCTTATAAAAACTTCATCATCCTCAGATTTATTTAAAGATATAAATTCATCATCCTCAGATTTATTTAAAGATATAAATTCATCATCCTCAGATTTATTTGACGATAAAACTTTATTATCCTCAGATGCTTCCAAAAATAAATATGCTAAAAAATCAGAAAAACTTTCTTTGTTAAAATCACTAGTGTCTTCGATATCCAAAGCTATCCGATAAAGAAAAATAAAATAGGGTAATTCAAATCGAATGTTAACCCAGTCGCTAAATAGATTGCCGACACTGCAACTTTTATTATAGAAGAAATAGTATCCACTAGAAAAGCGTCTTTTCAAAATCTGAATGACTTTTTCTTTAAATTTGAACTGTTTAAATGAAGTTTTCGAAAAAAACGAACCTTTTAAACGTTTATAGTCTTTCGTTTTAATTGACATTGGTTCAATTTTTTTGTTGTCGTTTATAAAGTTGTAGTAATCAGAAACTCTAGATTGAGGACAATTATATACACAAGACGATAATAATTTCTTTTCTTCTTCAAGAGACAATCGACATCGTTTATCAATACGATCTTTGAAAATCAAGTAAAAATTGAAATGATACTTTATAAATTCTTCTTGTAAGAAGCCGAGATAAAGCTTTTTCTTTTTTGCATCTGCTTCAATCAGAAAATCTGTTTCATAACTACTTAATAAAAGATAAATTAAACGAAGAAAAATAGCATGAGTGTTGCGATGATGATGGTATGACTTATCGGCGACACGACTAACTTCTGATACTTTTGAAGAAGCATCAATTGACCTAAGTGCTTCTATATCTGAATGTTTATCTTCAAAAAATTCTAAGATAATGTTAAATTCTATGTCTGAATATTGGCTATTTTGCCAGCAGGTTTTTAGAATTTCTACACAAATTTCATAACCGTTCATTTTAAAGAACAAATCTTTGTCTAGAGTAGCGGTTTTGAAATACAGGAGAGCAAGATAGAAACTCCCAGTTGTTGTTTCTGAATTGAACCATTCTAAATTTTCATCGATCTCGTATGAAAAATACGCTGGTCTTCTGATTTCATCTAAATTCAACCAAATTATATTAGAGAAAAATGGGCCTTTTTTCTCAATAGAATGATTAGGAATAATTATTTTGCGATTGAACTTCATGATATTATCACTTTGAATATCTCGTTCAATTACTAAATACTGTGATAATCCAAACAATGTATTAATATGTTGATCTTCACTTAGACGATAATCTTTAAAATCTTCTGATATTATTTTTGCATCTTCAATTTTAAATTTTAAATTTAGTCTTGGTAGATAAATCATGACTGGTTCACTGTCTTGCTCTCTGGTTTTTAATGCTAAAATATAATTTTCATCTTCGATTCGAGAAAATGTCCTATATAACACATTTGACTGATCAAATCTATCTTTTGTAAAAGGAATAAGAAATTTTTCATGCTTAGTTGAATAAATTTCATTACTATTTAAATCTATCTCAAATTTCACTACATTATCTTTATTTTTAATAAATATCCGATCATTCTCATACCAATGGTTGTAAAAAACTGTTTTTCCATTTTCTAAATACTTAGGATATTTTAGCAAAAATTTCGGTAATTTACTTAAATAACTTTTTGAAACAAACGTCTGGTTTTTATCTTCAATCCAAATTTTATCATTCCCCAGAGAACTAAGTCGAATGTCTACAGATCCTGTACTTTTTATTTGATAACAATGCAATCGGTGTCCGAAAACATTTTTATCAATAACTTCTACAGGAAAATTTTGTGTTCCAAAATGTTCATTATAATGTGGATGACTAATAATTTGATTGGGTAAACCTGTCATAGGATGACCATTTTTGAATAAACGACCCTTCAATGGTATGAAAGAATAATTTTCTTTAACGTAGACATTCATGTTTGGATCTTTTTTCCATGATCCATTTGCATTTCCAACATGAACATCTAACATTCTTGAATTCTTATTCATAATCTTCTCAATTTTTGAACTCAAGTTAAAAAGAGTCATCATTGTTTTTATGTATAAGTTCAATGGTGCCAAACGGTTCAACTTGTAATTGTTTTCTAATAGAATTCTCGCATTTAGGATTTGTGAAACTTCTTTTTCATTGGGTGTCTCTAGATTTTTATATGTTAAAATATAATAACAACTCAATATGGACGCAACCGTTTGGTTATTGTTGAGGCTTAATATATCTTTCGTCTCCTTAATATACTTCCATAGTGTATCACGAAGTTCTGCTAAACATCCATTAATTATCTTTTTAGTAGGATCAGAACAAAAATCGTACAAATATAACAATATATCCAACGCATGACCTATTGATTTATACTGTGTAATTCTCTGCTTTAAATCTAAAAGAATGTCAACAAATTTTTTAACGAATTCAAGAGCAAATTTTTCACTCTGAAATTGTTTTTCTAACAAACACATATTGTCATGAGTTCCTAATTTATGTAGTGCTTGTTTAATTAAATAGCAATGTTCTTCTATCTCGAAGTTAATCTCATTGTTTTTTAATGCAATATACAATAGTATAAATTTGAGATCACTATCTCGTTGAATAGAACACAAACGGTAATATTGTGGTCTCGACAAGTTATCTGGCTTTTCATTCTCAGTACCAAGAATTTCATTTTCACTTATATTGCTGTCACTTTTTCCGTCATGATCAAATGCAATCAGTCCTTGATATTTGTTTGGTTCTCCCGGCAACCTATAATCGACAAATCTCTTCGTATCATGCGAAAAAACTATTTCAACATATGGGTCAGTCTCCCAACACAAGATGCCGCATTCATAGTGGAAACGAGTATACATATTTACATTTAAAGACAACGTAGATTTTATCTTGGTTGTGACTATTACAGAAAAACCCAACAAAGCTAATTGAGACAAATAAGAAATGTCTCTCAAATGTATTAATAATTCAGGCAAATACTTATCAGTAAATAACAGCTTATTCCATTTCTTTTCCAATTCATGCGCTTTGACTTCTTTGTGATCTTCTTCAAATTTTTTGTAAACATCTTTAAAATTGTTTTTCAAGACTTTTAAAGCATAGATTACATCGGTATTGTTTTCGTGAGAATTTTTATCTATAGACCGTGATGAAAAATCAAAAAGACAATCTCTTTTATCTGTAGTTTGTTCGATATTAGTAGTAGGCAATTTAAAAAATTCTTTAATTTTAATTAATAGGTTAAACCATTTTTTCTCTGGCAAAGATAATTGTGGAACGACCGATTGTAAAGATATATATGATTTCGTGCTTATTGTGTAATTCTTAAGCGTAGGACCAATCTTTTTATCGTTTCTAACTAAATCTTCCATCATGGCAAAAAGGCTAAATAAAACGAGAACTAATTTTGTAAAGTAGGTTGGGTCATACGAACAAGTTTCATCAGGATATAATTGAGTAGCAACAATAGCAGAGCAATTATAATATAGATTTGCTATACGAATTAATATACGAGCTAATTCAACATTAGATTTTTCATTACTGTACCAGCTTCTAAATCCATTAAATTGAGCTATTGAAAATACAAAATCTTCTACTAACTGACAGATTTGAATTACTCGATTAAGTCCATAATATTGAGTAAGATTATCTAACATTGCATTAAACTCAACTATTTTCGTATTATTTTTTTTTTCAAAATCGAGTATGTGAAAAGTATATTGTTTCCGTATTGTGCCACTTAAAGAAGAAACACATTGGCTAGTTATATTTTCTTGAATAAATTTTAATCCTTTTATATTTTCTGGTAAAATTTTTTCAAAATTATCATGTTTAAATATCATTTCTTTAATACATTTCTCGTTTCGTTGTTCACTATTTAATTTCACATTAATATTAGTGATGTGCTGCTGAACAGTCAACATGTAATCAGCAATTACTTTCATCGGTATTTCATGAATATTAATAGCTTCATACGCTACTTTATTACACATTTCATGCAGTAAAAATTGAAATTCTGAACGGTATAATCTGTCATTAGTTTCAAACTTTGTATATCTGTCGAAAGTACTAATTAGCAATGTAAATTGAAATTCAAAAATTATTTTAATATATAATGAATGCGCCTCCTGACTGTTAAAGAATTTTTTCAGTAAATAATAACACACACTCTTAATAACCGTCCAACACAAACTAAAAAATCCTTTCTCTTCCATATCAACAAAAGATTCTTTTTCATTTCTTAAATGTCCTTCTCCACCTAGCTTCGATAAAACAATTTCGTAAAGGTAGGCTAATTCATAATTCTGTTTGCCTTGAACAGTTCTAAGCGTTATTAGAGGTAACAAAAAATTCATACTAAAATTCGCTGATGGAATCTTCTCGATTTCTAATCCCAAACTGATTTTGTCTTTCGTAAGTTCACGAAATGATCTGTGATAAGAACTTATTGGATCAATCTGAACCAGTCTTTTATATTCTTTACTTTCCGATTCAACAATGCAGGCGGTAGAATGTGGCCCAGTATATTTCGATTCAAGCATCGGAAAGTTCGTTAAACTGGAGCTGGCAAAACTAGCTCTCGCCAAACCACTTGGTAAAATGCAGATATCTTGTAGATTTTGGATTCTGTTTTCTAACACTTTAGCATAGTTCTTAACGTCTCGATCTTGCCTTTGGGATATTCTTAAGGAGTCGACTATTATCAAATCAACGAGCCATTGCTTTAATATTTTAAAGATGATCTTCATTTGATTTCTTTGGTCATTTGAAAACGAGAAAAGCTTTCCAACTTTATCGAGATCTTCTCTATTTTCGATTTTTGACAACATATAGTTTAGTAACAAGTACAATATTTCCTTTTCATTAGGTCGTTCTATTTCGGATTCAGTTATCATGCTTGAACCATAGAAAATCGCAAACAGCTCACCGTCATTACCAATCACCATTTTCTCTGTTACTTCTTCAATTAGATCTATCAACTCGCAGTTATTTTGAACAAGCTTCGACGCGCATCGCAGTAAATCGTCCGTTCGAAGACTTGTTAACATTTCAGTTGAGCCTAAAGAAAACAAATAGACTTTAATATTAGTTTAGTAACTTAAGAATATCTTTCTAAAGCTCTCACATGATTAACAATATGAATGTATATAAAGACGGATGAGGGTAGATTTGAGTGCAGCTTTCCAAAAGCATGAAGGGTGAGAGATCACTTAGAGCTAAACTCACTGTAAATGATGTTTTATTAAAAACAACGTTCTTCATCAATCATAAAATGAACTTTTCTAATTTCTTTGTTGTAAACAAGACTAAGATAAATATGTTAAATTTTAGCAATCTATTAATATTTCGAAATAGCTATGACAAACGTTAATATTTGCGATTTGAGTTGAACATTCAATGTATATCTTTTTAAAAAAATAAAAATCAGTATTATATCCTATTTCTGAACACAATTACCTGCGCAATAAAAAAAATCTCGTGGAACTTATGTGGGTATGGGTGTGGTTACTTTCTTTTCTTGACAAGTACACTCACACACTTCTGCTCACTTGACAGATCTCTTACAGTACATGATAGAATCAAAGAAAAACGTCATATCTTACAAGATTTCTGAGGCACACGGGGAAGTACTATCATTCCTCTCTCAACACATTTCGCCACTAATCGACAACCACATTGTCATGAAATTGGAGCCGCTTTTGCACTACAAAAGCTTTCCGAAATTATTATACCAAAGTGTGTCGAAGGAGCTGATAAGCAAATTATTATCTAGCATCACTGTGACGCGACTTACTGCATTGATTTTCACTGCCGATGTCTGATGATAGAGTCGACATATTGACGAAAGCATGAGTACCATACAGTTCTTGGAATGTTCTGTGTTGTTCTTTCCAGTGAAGAGAACTTGTTTGGCTAATGTAAATCAATAAATAAGCATTCTTAGTGACGACGTCATCAACATGAATCTCTCTGAAACTCGTATCATCATAGCTATACCAAAATTGATTGTAATAGTTTTTTACATTTGCTGTGTAATGACCATCTTTCGTGTTGAGAGCGATGTGATTACAAACTGCTAATAAGTCGTACCTCGTTATTTTCTTTTGGCATGTTATTTCAAGGTTGATCAAAGGACATGCCACATACGACATTTGCTTTCTGTTGGACAGTAGAAAAGAATTACGATTTAGATGAAAAATAATCACTTCAGGTAGTACCCAGAAATCGAGTTTTTTTGTGGCATTTCTGCGGGTCTTACACAGGGAGCATTGTAACATGTTCTCATCCTTGAAATATTCTGTTTCAGTATATTTGCTGATACATTGATTGAGTTCTGCATCACTATTTTCTGGTACGGGTAATGAAAAGCAGTTAACCTGTTCTCGGCGTCCTTGCGTATGTTCACATGTTGACCATTCTATTTTTGAGTAAACCGTACCATCTAAAAATGGTAGTGGGCAGTAAAGCTCCAGAACTTTTAGTAGTTTAATGAGAAAATCATGTGCATCTTGTTGAGTGTTGTTGAAAAACTTTTCGTCAACATGTTGCCGCAAACTTTGTTGAAGTTTTTCTGGAACGATGAAACTTTTTTTTCCTGACCACATTGCTTCAAAGAATTCCTTGAAACAACTGCCCGTTTCAGATGTCATTGGATTGTCAAGAAAATGTCTAATTATGTGTGGAATACCGGTTAAACATTGTAAAACACTGTTCATGAAACAAGTATTTCCAAGATTTTGAACACCACAGACACCAGGCCTTGAAACATCTTTCTGTTCGCTCATACTTTTGTTTCTTATCTTGAACAAAATAAGAACTTATTTTTACAGACTCTTGTTCTGAACTGAACTAATCCTACTGTAGATTGTTCAAATTTAATCTGAAATGACGTCGAAAAAGTAAGCACCATCTTCGGCTTTTCTTGTCCGGATTCGCTATATTAGTTGGGTTATTTCTAAAACCACTTCAGTTAGGCGCAGTTTCTCGTTCTGAATTGAATAGAATTAGTTTTGAAGGCAGTTGTTGGCCAAAAAACCCCAATTCGACCCCAAATAGTGATTTTTCCAGGATATTTCGAAGATATTTCCTGTCAGGATTCGCTATACTAGTTGGGTCATTTCTGAAACCACTTGGGTTATGTGAAGAACTCAATTCTGTATCCAATAGCACCGTTTTCAGCAGGAGCCATCGGGTTAAGGGTGCTACTTGTGCCCGAAATACTGTTTTTTCCAAGATTTCATAGCTAGGTTTCTAGAAATTGGCACTGCGGATGCCCTATACTACTCGGGTTATCTCTCTAATCACTCGGATTAGATGCAGAATTGAATTCTCCATCGAATGGTATCATTTCCAACAGGAGTTATCGAACGAAAGGTACCACTTCCATCCCAAAACCTGGTTTTTCTAGGGGTTCTCTCTGATATTTCCTGTCCGGATTCGGTACATTAGTTTGGTTACTTTACTTCTGATACCACTTGGGTTAGATACAATGTTTTATTCTGCGTCGAATGATACCATTTCCAGTAAGGGGTCATCGATCAATAAATACCACTCTCATCAGGAATACTTTTTTTTCGGGTAGATTTCGAGGTATTTTCTTTCCAGACTCACTATACTACTTGTTTTATTTCTCTAAACACTTGGGTTAGATGCAGACTTGAGTTCTGCACCTAACCCAAATAGTTAAAAAGATAACGCAAGCGGCGAAAGGAATCAGGACAGAAGATACCTCGAAAAATCCCGGGAAGAACTAGTGTTTAGGGTAAAAGTGACACATTTTGCTCGATGGCCGCTACTTAAAATGGTACTATTCGACGCAGAATTGAATTTTGCACCTAACCCAAGTGGTTTCAGGAATAACCCAACTAGTATAGCGAATCCGGACGGGTAATATCTTGGAAATTATCTGGAAAAATCACTATTTGGGGTAGAAGTGGTATTTTTTCCCCGATAATCCTAGTGAAAATAGCACCATTCTACGCAGAATCAAAAACTGTATGTAATTCAACAGCTTTTGGAAAATAACCCAACTAGTATACCGAATCCAGACAGGAAATATCCGGCAAGATACCCCAAAAAAACGAGTATTTTGAGGGAAATGGGGTATTTTTAGTTGGCAACTGCCCTCGGAACTGGTACCATTCGACGTAGAATTAAATTCTGCGCCGAACCCAAGTGTTTTTAGAAATAACCTAACTAATATAGCGAATCCGGATAGGGAATACTTTGGAAATTACCTGGAAAAATCAGTATTTTGAGGGAAAGGAGGTGTTTTTGGCCGATAACCCCCTTGAAACTAGCACCATTCGATTTAGAATGAAAACCTGCACCTAACCCAAGTGGTTTTAGAAATAACCCAATTAATATAGCGAATTCGGACAAGAAAAGCCGAATATGGTGCTAACTTTTCCGACGTTCTGAAATGTTACATGACTTTATTGGTACATGCTTTTAAAAAGGTGAATAAATTGTTGTAACACGGCATTGAGAAAACGAGTGTCATTGACGAATATTTTTATCGATGCGAACAACGCTCTTTTTAGATTTTGTCCGAGGCGTATTTCTGACATGTTAAAACTGAGCCTAAGAGTTTTTCTATATCCTTTATGTCTACAATCTTGCTGCTTATGTTTCTAGAACAAGCAATGTAAACATCGCGCAGGTGATAATCGAATAAAAGTTTAAATAATGATCATCAAAGAGTAGAAATACGGCGTATAGACGACGACTATGAGAACGATTGTGGTGAAGACAATGATGAATGAAATCATGAGTATATTAGCGAGGGATCTTGTGCATTTCTCATTCTCACTCACTTTCAAAGGTAAATACATAAGTATCAATATAAAGTTCATGTTGTCATAGTACGCCTCACTTCGTCTCGTTATACTGAGAGTAATTTCAAAAAGTTGTCTAGTAACATCTCTAAACACAATACATATTGATCGGATATTAGGGACATTTGAGTCATCACGAAGTTTTTTGAAGATTT